TTTTCTAACAAGTCACGCCCCTTTCTAGATGGGCCAGCAACGGCAGGCCCATTCGACATTCCTTCCTTTCCAAGCTGATCTGGGTTTAGCTTTGGTGGTCCATTCGGCTTATGCAGCCCAACTGAGTGATATTGGGTTTTACCATCAACTCTTACATAGTCGTCTCTGGAGTCAATGCCACTTTCTTGGCCTTAATCCCTAAGAAGGTAGATGCAAATCACCCTAAAGATTTTAGACCCACTAGCTTGGTGACTAGTATCTACAAAATTTTGGCTAAGGTTCTACCTTTGAGACTAAGAGAAGCATTGCCCCCCACCCCCCTCATTAGTCAAGCCCAAGGAGCCTTTGTACAAGGGAGAAATAACTGATCAGATCTTGATAGTCAATGAATGTGTGGAGGAAATGATGAGGTCTGACCAATCGGGTTTTGTTTGTAAGTTGGACTTAGAAAAGGCTTATGATTTGGTGGATTGGAATTTCCTGATAGAAGTATTGAGGAATTGTGGATTTGGTGAAAGATGGTGCAGTTGGGTGAAGGGTTGTATCAGCTCTTGTCATTTTTCAGTGTTGGTAAATGGTGTGGTTAGGGACTTCTTTTCGAGTTGTAGAGGACTAAGGCAAGGTGACTCTCTCTCCCCTTTTCTGTTCACCCTTGTAGCTGATGTTTTTAGTAGGTTAATCACAAAGGCTGGTAGGGAGGATGTAAATAAGGGTTGGAGAATAGGTAGGAATAGAGTCCTGGTAACCCACCTCTAGTTTGCTGATGACATTATTATTTTCTGTGAAGGGAGTGATCTAAGCAAGGCGAGGAATTTAAAACGCTTGATAAAACACTTTGAGAATGTTTTCAATCTGAAGATAAATCAAGACAAGAGTTGTGTGGTGGGTATCAACATGGATGATGGGGCTATTGATTCTGTTGCAGATTAGAGTGTTCTAGGTGCTAACCCAAAGGAATGTTGTTTTTGGACTCCAATCTTGGAGAAGTTTGAAAAGAGCTTGGCAACTTGGAAAAAGAACTATATCTCTTTAGGGGGTAGAGTAGCATTATTAAGAGCCAGCTTAGCTAATTTGTCGGTGTATTACCTCTCAATGTTTAGGATTCTTGCCAAGCAAGCCAAGAAGTTAGAGAGATTGATGAGAAACTTTCTTTGGGAACCAGGGGCAGAGAAAAAGGATCATTTAATAAGGTGGGAACTAGTGTGTAGGAGCAAAGAAGGTGTATTGGGATTGGGCCACCCGGTTCCAAAGAATGTAGATCTATTGGGGAAATGGCTTTGGAGATGGCCTTTAGAAAGAGACAGACTATGTGGCATGAGATGATAGCAAGTATTCATGGCACGCTGGAAAACAGCTGGGATGTGGCTGTATCACGCTAGGTGACTTTATCCACACCTTGGAAAGCAATTCATTGTGTCCTTCCTTTGTTTCTCAACTTTGTCAGGTATGATGTTTGTTCTGGTAATTCTATTTTATTTTGGGAAAACATCCGGGTGGGTAATTCAGCTTTCAAGGAGCTTTCCCCTCTCTTTACTCCATTTCTTTGTTCAAGAAGAAGGTGGTGTCCTAGTTCCTCCCTTCTCCTGTCCTCCCTCTATCTCTAAGCTGGAATTTTGGGTTTCATAGGGGTTTAAGGGACAATGAACTTGTGTCTGTTTTGGATCCGTTAAGCCTTTTGCGCAATATCTGCTTAGACCTTTCTCAATCTGATAGGAGAGTTTCGTTTCCCCATCCAAAAGGTTCCTTCTCTTGTGCTTCTTTCTTCAAGTCCCTTTGTTCCTCTTCTAGTCAGAGGCTCTTTTCAGTCAAGGAGGTTTGGTTCAAGCCGGTTCCCCCTAAAATTATGGTGTTCTGTTGGGAGGTGTTTCTTGGGAAAATCAATACCTTGGACTGTTTGCAAAAGAAAAGGCCTTTCATGTGCTTATCTCCTAACTGATGCAGTCTTTGCAAAGCTGACAGTGAGGACTGTTTTCATTTACTAATATCCTGCTCTTTTGCTTCGGCTATTTGGAATTGGATTTTTGCTTTGTTTGGGTGCAGGTGGACCTCACCTACAGATGTTTGTTCACTATTTGAACCCTCCTTTGTGTGGCCCACTAAAAGAGGACGGAGCATGTGGAAATGCATTAGAGCAGCTGCTCTCTGGACAATTTGGGAAGAGAGGAATGCAAGAATCTTTCAAGAAAATGAAAGAAGCACCCTAAATGTCAAGGACTATATTCTGACAAGAACAATTTTTTGGTTGAAAACTATGGATTCCTTCCAATCCTTTTCCTTTGATGACCTTTGGAGGAACTGGTCAGTTGTAGCAGCTTGCTCTTCCAGGAAAGATAGGGTAATTGCAGATTGGATTCCTCCTCCTGAAGGATGTGTAAAGATGAATTTTGATGGAAATAGTGAGGGTAACCCGACCTTCTAGAATAGGAGGGGTCTTGAGAGACAAGGACGGTAACATCTTAGCCTTATTTTCTGGCCCAGTAGGTTTGGGAGACTCTAATAGGGCTGAACTGCTAGCAGCCTTGCAAGGTATTCAAAGTTCAAACTGCACATCAACTTGGGGTTGAGAACCTAATACTTGAAGGAGATTCTAAAGTTGTTGTGGGGTGGTTGCCAGATTCAGATTCAGTGGTTTGGTGCTACTGGGACCTGATAAAGAAAGCTAACTGGTTAACTAGAAATATGAATATCAGCCTACACTGGGTGGGAAGGTCGGATAATGTGTTGGCTGATTGTCTTGCCCAACAAGGGGTCAATAGGGAAAGTTTGTACTGGGCTGTTCTGTAATTTTTCACTACTGTTGTCTCTGTAAATTTCTTGTATTTTTCTTTTAAGGAGAGGTTGCACCTTGTGCCTTTCCTTGCCTCCTTGGGATGCCTTACTATCTATCATTTGATTACTAAAATCACAATTCAATTATCGAAAAAAAAGATTGCATATACTCTCACATCTCCTGCAGGTTACTCCAGGAGGAGATTATTCAGAACATTGCTACAGAACCAAATTCCTAGAGATCAAAGATGGGAAATAGGTAATTCGGTGGCATACAAAAAGTGGTCAATTTACAATAAAATAGCAGCTCAATTAGCTAGAGATCAAAGATGGGGAGTAGTGAATCAAGGGACAGCTAAATACTGCACATGGAAACTTAGCTGCCAACCTAAGATCCGAGTTTATATGTGGCTCATAAGTCACCAGAAAGTGACGCTGGAGAATGCTTGCATATGATGATCACAGACTTGAGTTGCAAAATATGTAGAAAGGCCCAGGAAACACTCAAGAACCTGTACATTGAATGCCCCAAAGTTCAAGAGATGTGGAAAAAATCTCCATATAGGACCTAAGCTACAAGCAAGGGATGATACCACATTTCCAGAATTTCAAAAATGGTGCAAGAGGGAGAACCATCCAAGCAATTTGATGCCTTTCTTGATATAAGAGTGGTGGATAGCATGCAATAAAGGGATATTCCAAAATGAATAATGAAGCACAGCAGCAGTAACACATAAAGCAAATGAGAACTGGAGACAATACAAAGGGGGTACACAGAACAAAAAGTAATGTCTAATGGAACAAGCAACAGCATCAACAAAGACGGGAAAATTCAGTGGCTAGGACCATAACAGAATTGGGTTGCATTAAATTTTGATTTGTCAGTAAAAGATAACCCCAAATCTGCAGCAATACTATTCTAAGAAATCATGATGAGGAATTCATAGCAACCCAGGCCCACCAAATCGGGATCTGCAAGGTATGCATGGCACAGAGGCTTGGGCAGCAACAGTAGGGATTAGATTTACTAAAAGCATGCAGATCAGGAAGACTCACATTCAAGGAGACTCCCAAGGTGTAATAGAGGCAATGTAAAAAAGGAAGATTCGTGTATTGTGTGAAGGGAATAGGAGTGCTGATCATCTGGCAAATCTCAGAAAGGTTTATGCATCAATCCAGATGTGGACGGAATCCCCCCACCCACTCTTAACCCCATTTTGATGGATGATCCAATGGACAAAGAGATCGCAAGACAGTATCATGGGTCATTTGTCCTTGGTCATGTAATACTCCCCCACCCCCACCCCCCAAAAAAAATGCAAATTGAGAACTCCATTTATAAGTCTAATATATCTGGTCTGGGTTGGACCAGGTTGACCAAGGCATCAGCCTAACATAAGCCTATTTTTTTTCAGGTTGAGTTGGCCCAACCCAAGTTGCACATCTAATTAAATACGGATGCCAATGGGTTGGGTATGGATCAACCCCAACCTGGGCCAAAGTAACTCCAATCCAACTAGTTAGAACAGGATTTATTGAACCCAACCCCACCCACCCCCTGAACAGTGCAACTATTCATAGCAAAAGCTATACCATTGGGTTTAGTGCAGGTTTGCCTCAACCCAAACCCAACTCAAAACCTGAACAAGACTTGCATGAGAGGGTCAGATCAAGGTGGATTTACCACTTGACCCGCAACCTACTGACATCCCTCAATTAGGAAGTATTCCTAAGGCTGTGTTTTGTTGCAACATAAATCTATTTGAACTAATGCAAAACTATGGTAGTGCAAATGAATTGGGCACAAATTCTGATCTATTTTTGTTTCAAATTTTACCTTGTTTTGTTTGATTCCAGTACAAATGAAGATAAGACTTGAAGGAGAATAAAGAAAAACCTAAAAAAAGTTAAATCAAAATCTGCATTCTTTTCATTTTCACTCCCATGCATTTGTACTAGTGCAAATAAAATTGCACTACAACCAAACACAGCCTAAAGGAAAATTTCAGGATTCCCTAGCAGATACAGCATCTTTCAGCACACTGATCATTGTCCATTAGCAATCAGGCAGTGTGCTATAGAAAAATTGGAAAATATGTATCCTCATTCTTTCTGCAGGTTGTCTCCCCATCTGATCATTAACCCTGCTGCTTAAGTTGATGGCAAGTAACCAAATCTCAATCAACTAGATCATTCAACTCTAGAATTCAGAGCAGTAAAGGCATTCTCACCCTCAGAAGGCGCCTTTGAAGGCCTTGCTCCTTTTGTCTCATCCTTTGGATCCATGGAAGAGTGTCTGCTTGAAAATGCCTCTGAAGCTGTAGCACAGATACATTCTATAGGTTATAAATGGCATTCTAAATGTATGATGCATGAAAGGATAAAGATATAGAGAAAAAAAAAAAAGTACCATTTTAACATTTGCTTGTGTCATTCGCAATCTTTCAGCATCAGAAAGCATGACTTCATCTTGAAGCTGGAGTGACCAAAAAGATGAAGTAAATCAACTTCATTAATATGGTAACTATAGATTGCAAAATATGCAGCAAGAAAAATAGTGACATAAACGTATTTTTCATGGACCCCCCTCTTTAGGAGGAACTTATTTGACTGGGATCTGGAAGAGATTATGGAGCTGCTGGAGAATCTACAGAATCAGAAGATAGATTTATCTTTGGAAGATGAATTGTGCTGGAAGTGGAATTCTGATGGATGCTTTTCTGTCAAGTCTTTAGCTTCCAAATTGTGCAGCTCAGGTTCCACAGGCTTCCCTGCAATTCAGACTTGAAATCCAACAAGTCCCTCAAAATCCAACTTTCTGGTGTGGACAATGGCCCTAGATAAATGCCCTCTCCAGATCTAATCTTGAGAGGTGTGGTATCCAAATTTTGGACTCCTCTTGTGGATTGTGTGGTTCCCTCCTAGAATCTACAGATCACCTCTGTCTTCACTGTTTGGTTTCCTCCCTGGTGTGGGATCATTTCCTGAATTCTATGGACATCAGCTGGGTTACGCCAAGGTCGGTCAAGGAGCTGCTGTGCTGCTGGAAAATTAAAGGCCTAAGCAAGAAAGGAAAGTCAGTGTGGAAGACTATCCCTACAGCTGTCTTGTGGTCTACTTGGACTGAAAGGAACAATAGAATTTTTTGTAATAGAGCTAAAAGTCCTAAAGAGTTAGTGCAGAGAGCTGTTGGCAAGCTGTTCTCTTGGGTGTCTGTTACTGAGGAGTTTAGACACCTGACCTTGTCCCTCTTGTTTCGGTCTCAGTCTCGGTGGAGTCTGTAACATGTGTTGTTCTCAGGCTGCCTTTTTGGCATGGGTATTGTTGTAATTTCTCCTTTCTGTTTGAATAAAGTTACCTTACCTTTTCAAAAAAAAAAAAAGGAATGTGTCAATCAAGTCAAAAAAAAAGGAAGAAATGGATCTTGTCATGATCAGATTTCAAGATGATGATGGAAGTAGTTATTTCGCAATTGTCTAGGCACTTAGGCAAGGTTAGGTGGCAAGGGAGCATCTTGTTGCCTAGGCTATAACCACTTCCCCTTAAATGGTTATAGACATACATTGTATAACCGCTAGATTACACACTGATTATTTGATCTTTGAAATTTTTGTTTCTTGTGTCTCTGGGAGAACAAATATTTCTTTACTCAACTTTATGATAGTGAGTAGTTTGTTTTGGATTTGGTGTTCTGAAAAATTAGTGTCTAATATCTGAGTATCTGACATGTTCCTGTAAAATTTCTTTCTTACTTTTGATTAGGGGTGCAATTTGGCAGGCCTAACCTGAGCCCAACCCGAGTTTTTGTACAGTTTGGGCCTGAGTTTTTGGGCTGTGTGATGGGCCAGCATCTGAAAACTCGGGCCTGACCTAAACTTGGGTTGGGCTTGGGTTCCAGCCCAATCTAACCCAGGCGGCCAAGCCTAACGCAACCCAAGCCCGCTGAACAACCTTCAACCTGAACCAACCAGCCCAAGTCATATCCCTACATGTTACTAGATAATGACCACCCTGTAGTAAGTACGTAGCAACTATTCTGACATTTTTGTTTGACAGCCATTATCAATTTATGTTAGGTTTTTTATTTGATTTAAGTGATTAAATCAGGCTCTATTCATAAATACTAATCCACTTTATTTGAGATAAACTATTTATCTGGTCTACTAATTTGAGTTCTATATTTAATTTTGAAAATTAAATCAGGTTTGTAATTGATTACCTATTTCATCTAAAAAAGTTTTCCCCCACACCATTGAAAGTCTTTATAATGAGTCTCTTATTTGAATTAGGAAATTAAAGTAAAAAGATTAATATGGGTCCAATATCTATTGAAGTGGGGATAAGTAGTTACATGCCTTCTAGTTTGAGGGTTTTCCTTATGTATGTGTCATTATGTTCAATGCAACTAATTTCATAGGAGCCAAATCCATGGCTATTGAATCTGAAATCAATAGCTCCAACTGTTACGTTCCAAGGACATAACAGTTGTATCATCTACTTCAAGGGAGACAAGAGACCTCCAAGAAAACCGTAATGGTTAAAGGTAATTTTCTTCAATGATGATTTTCTGGAAATGAAATTTACAACCAATATAAAGACTTCTACTAACTCACGTTCACCCATGACTCCAAGGCTCCACTCAAAAATTGGACTTTTCCCCAACATTCTAGACACTAACCGACTCTTAATTGACCCCAAAAGACTAATTCACACACTCCACTTTACAGATCGACTCTATTTTTATGTATTTACAAATAACAACCTAACTAACACCACACCTAATACATAGGCCCACTAATGGGAAAATAGCATTTCCTCCCCCTTAAAACTGACCTTGTCCTCAAGGTCAAAGCCTCCAAGACAGATCATATGGCATCCAAGTCTAAGTGTCACAATCTCAGCTTTCTAGTTGGATGCAATGATTTAAAAGGCGCGCCTAGGCACACAAGCGAGGCGCATTTTAGGGTATGTGCCTTGCCCAGGTCCTAGGCGCACCCCTTTCAAAAGGTGCAGGCCTAGTGCGCCTAGGCATGCGCCTTGCACCTTTTGCTTTTTTTTTAGCCTAACGGTTATGCCGGGGATTCCGTCCTCGGACCCCCGCCCACACCCCACGAGAACCCCCAATTTGGTAATGTTGTTCATTCATTCATCCTAATAAAATGACTTCTTAAAAAGCAATTAAAACTATAAAATCATTACTTTTTGGCATTAGCTACTTGAAGTAATGCAATTGAGTGAAAAAAGAGATTAGAGGTTTTACATGCTTGAAAATGTTTTATATGTTTGATTTTATTTTTAAATTCTCATTTGAATATGCTTTACATCTTATGTTTATGTATTTTAATTTTAGATAATAGGTTTTGTAAAACATTATTTTAAATTTTAAGTTTATATTGTTATTAATATTATGTTTAATATTTTTATTTTTTTGAATTTTTTAGCATTTTTTAATTTTCTGACTTTTTTTTGTATTTTTGCGTCTTGCTTCAAAAAGGCGCACGCCTTGCCTTGTGCCTTGTGCCTTGCACCTCAGGTGCAAATTGACCCCTACACCTTTTTTGCACCTTGCGCTTTTAAAACACTGGGAGAAAGCCTTTTGTTCTAGTTCTCTACCACTCTCATCAATCAGGTTCAAAAACTCCTGCAAGCCAACTTCCATAATTATAGATGTCCCGACACATTGAACATCTTCTGAGGCCTTTCCTTGTGTCTCATTTAAAATCTTGCATTCTTCTATGAAATCACCTTGAATATCATTCATAACCTTTGGAATCTCCCCCTGAGACAATTCCAACACAATGCTATGGTTATCTTCACCAATACACTCAGAAAGTGGCATCATATTAGTTGCTACATAATCCTCTCCTGCATCGGAGACACTATCAGCTTCATCACCCTCATCTAGAGACTTAATGTCAAATTGGCTTCTCAAAGATGTATCTTATCTAAACTTCAATCACATTGTCAAGCTTCTCATCAAAGACTCCTACCTGCTGCAATACTTGCAGTACTATAGACTGTTGCTCATCCAGATTGAGGGCACTAGAATCTAGTATATGCACAAGAAGGTTTGCTTCCATCACTTCTTCCAAGGTTACTTGGAATGCTTCCACTAATTGAATGGGCAAATCTGAAATAAACCTTACTGTATTACTAAGAATCATTTTCTTCTTTGAAGGAAGAACTACATTTAATCAAGGATCCACTGCTGCAAACAATCTGTCATTGCATGGATCTTATCTGAAAGTGCATTAATTGAAGTAGATTTTCCAGCATTTCTGTACCCAAAAACTGCAACAGTTGCTAACCTCCTTGTAAGTCACCACACCTCTTGCAAGAAGCACAATGCATAGGTTCAGGTGAACCTCCTGAAGTTGGATGGAGACAAAGTGCTTGCAAACCATCTGTTATGCACCTAGTAACAAGTGGCTGATGAAGAGAGTTGAAGTATTCCAGGATGCTAGCTGTCAACTTCATTGACATAAGCAGAATACAATCTTTTAGAGCATCAAGAATATTTAGAAGCTCCTCAGCTCTCTTGGGTCCTTCAGTTGCAGTAGAATTTGATCAGCCTACAAGTAGGAACTGTAGGAGAACCTCCACCACATTCTCCACTATCAATTGGTGGCTCAACAATTGCTTGCATCTAGTTTCAGCCGGGGTACCAATAACACATGCAACAATACCAATAGATGGGCCCCATGATTGCCCATTTCTTCCTCACTGCCTCTTAATGAATACAAAGACTGAATGACTGCAACCACACATCTCTTCATTCTCACCACCCTCCCAAACTCCAGTAATGCATTCTGTTTTTTGTTGTATTCATCGATAGTGATTTGAGCAAGACTCTCGAACTCAACATTGTTCTCAGACCCCTCAAAACCGTGAATCTGACCAACAATTTTTCCGTCTACCATCCTTATTGAACCATCAAAGAAAACCTCAATTCAAAAAAGACGGAGATGAGAAGCAGGGCAACATCGACAATAGAATACCTCACCTTCCTGATTGTAGATTTACCGGGCGAACTTATTTACATCAAAGACATCGAAAATAGGGCCAACGCTTGTAAAAAAATGCAGAACATTGCCATAGGCTGGGGGTTCATCTTGGTTGACTCCATGTCTGAGAATCGCCTTGTTAAAACCGTTACCCAAGTCTTCTTCCAGGAGATTTTGATGCCAAACTCCTCCCTTCGACAAATTGTATTCTTGATCATGGGGAAGACATACTGAATCTTGAAATCTCAGGCTTCTAAGAATTTCAATAAGATCTGATTGCTCTACTTTCCATTGTGCGACAGGATCCCCCAGATGGGGTGTTAGACAGTGTATGCCCTTAGCTCCAATCAGA